TCATATCTTATAGGGTTTTTATTGAAAAATATTAATGATTCATTTTTGGTACACTATGCAAAATAGACATAAAAATTCTTTAGTTAGTATGACATATCTATAACAAAATTATAAACCACATGCATACCACACCAAAACAAAACCAACAAACCAATAAAGGAAGCATAGTACTAAATACATGTCGTAATTATTACCATTAGTGCATATTGTCCCATTTTTGCATCAACACGAAATAAGCCCTCCATACACATGATAGTTACGGAATATAGACAAAAGTACTAGAAAATTAATAAATAAGAGCCTTACCTTTAGAAAATATTGTTTGTTTAACGAATACACCAAAATATTTCTAAATAATCCACTTCCAAAAGTACGTAAATGAACCCGCTATCAAAAATGCGCGCCAATTGGTATAACGTCAGAAAGATACAAATATTGAAGTCAAATGTCATTATTTTAGTTAATTTTTGATAAGTCAATGGACAAAGGAATCACTGCCATTCAGCCAAATGTATCGATATCAAAACTGTTGTCGGGTATCCGCGCAAAAAGTTATTGATTCATTTTTGGGACTCTATGCATTTAAGGGTTAAATGAGACACCCTGTATATTATCTTCGTCTGGCATTTTCAAAGTTATTTGAAAATCAACTTTCCGTCTTCAAATAGAAATCTATACTTCTCCAAATTAGTTTTCGTCAGGCTTCATCATAAAGTAATATTATGTACATCGTGCAAAAACACATAGGTTCAACTTATGACGTAAAAATCCTGCAATTTGTTGCTTTTTAAGTTGATAGAACTAAATAAAATGAAAGCATTATAAAATTCGCGTGTACAGGTGTACAAGAATCATTGCGTAACAAACTGATCGATTCTCAATTGTTTGCATACATAGCAGGGATTAAGAGTTGTCAAAATACATTTTTATTCAAATAATAAGTGAATTATTTAATCACGAGCATATTTAAAAAATAAGACACATTTGCATTTGTAATTTTATAATTTAGTAATTTGTTATTATATTCTTTTCTTTTTCCATTTCACACACACACAGATCTATAAGCTTCTCAGAAATCAATCATTTGAAAAACTGTTATTTGTTATTTCTGACTGCTATTTATAATAATTAATCGTCTAGCTAGCAGACAAATGTATTTTGAATTGACTTGTCCCTCGAATAAGAATGTCAAATTTATTAGCAATCGAAACCATTACGAAACGAACTTATTTGTTGCTTTGCTTGATCTTTAATTTAAATGAAAAGTGATTAACTTCCATTATAATATTTTACGCGGATCTTACTATGAGTGTAGCACGCAGTCGCAAAATCAATACCAGACTCGAACACATATGTATTATTCATATACGTGCGCATTGTTAAACGGATTTGTTTAATATTAACACTTCGCCAACCTGGAGGCTATTAATAGGATTTCGGATTACTGCGTTATATTAAAATGCTGCTTGAAGATCTTGTCTTAAACATTAGTAACGAAACGAGACATGAAAATCTGATAAAAGAAATCGTGCAACAACTTGGACACCGACGATTTCACAATTCTCTTCTAGAGTATTATTAGGAATTATCAATATGTGTGTTAAGTGCCGAAAATTAATCCCAAAAAATCACACAAAATCCAAGCGATCGAATTAATTAAACTGAAACTGGATACAGTTAAATCAGTTTTCGTGCGGTCTTTTTTATGCAACTTCTTTGTGCGTTTTATTTTCTGCTGTCCCTATCCATCGCACAAGAACAGGTTTTACTGTATTCATATACAGTATAAAAAATCGCACAAAAAAGTCGCATAAAAAAGACCGCACAAAAGCAGGTTTTACTGTAATTACAATTTATTATCGTTAAACTGCGAATATTATGCATTTATGCGGGAAAATGAATGTATTGAATACAAACGTGTACAGACATTCGAAGAATTTAAAGATATTATTAGATTATTTTCAGCTTGTTAGAATTATTAAAAGAGGAAAGATATTTTCATCTAATTCATGTTCCACGCAATTAACTCGCCCAATTTTTATTTCGCACAAAGATTCGCAGTGTTTCCCTAGCAAAATACAGTTTGTTCGATCATGTTACAATGAACATGAAGTTTGAAAACTAATAGAAGATTAGTGTCACCCTTACAAGACCGTTACTAAATAATCAAACCGTTATATCAAAGTCGCCGAATTTGCCATTTTATGCTTTACAAAAATGTGGAAACAATATTGGTTCCATTGAAGAGTATATAGGCGTTCTTAACGTCTTACAAGAAATGATACTGACGGAAAATAATCTTGACGTAAACTTGATATAACCATGTATTACCTATCATTTTTCAGGAATTTTGAATAAAGTTGTAAAACGATATTTCTATCAAGAATTCATCAGTGGCAACTAATTGCGATGGCAAAAATTAATAAAAAGCTGTTTATTTAACAAGCAATTCTTTTCATCAATTAGTACAGTTTCTGGTTCTCTTTAAAACGGTATCGTTAACTAATTAACTCAACGCACTGTGCGTCGCGCAAGTGTTAAATAAGATCGCGTAATGTAATTACAGTAAATTCTCCCTAATCGATCTTTAGGTCAAGGGAAGAGGAAGTACGATTATTCGAGCTTTGCGTCTCGTACAATCAGTAATTATAAAAACGAGCCGCAAGGCTCGAATACAGTAATTTCTCCCTAATTCGCGCTCAGATTGTGCACAAAAATGGACAATTTGGGAACAGGAGATAGGATTATTCGAGTTCTGCGACTCGTTCTCATAGTTGCTGACAATGGGTAACTATAAAAATGAGTTGCAGGGCTCGAATAATCGTAATTCCTCTTCCGAGATTGTCCATTTTTGTGTACAATCTGAGCGTCAATTAGGGAGAATTTACTGTACTTTGTCCAGTACGCTATGAGACGTCATACAACGATGGTAGTGGCCATAATATAACAGAATTGACGTATGGTTCGCATGGGCTGCATAATAACTGACGTATTTTCGCAGGAGTTACAGAGGAGACTGGACCAGACCCTGGGAAAGCCGGGCAGCTATCTGGCAGGAATCGACCGGGCAGGTAACGTGAAGCAGATGACGATAGGCGCGCGCCTATACAGGGTAGAGCAGCAGGTGAGTTATCCCTAACTAATTCTGCATCTCCTGTTTACAAATTCGAAATCGACGTCTTACAAACCTTCATTAATAATAAACGTCCATTAATAACTGCTTGAGCTAGTTAGGTCCATCGTGGAGGAGATATAGCGTGATCGAAATACTGTTTGGGTCCAAATAGTACACTTTCATACAAGGTGTGTCTATAAAATAATGAAACCGATGCCGTATAATTGTTCAATTATTAATATTTGATACAATTATTAACGACAATATCTCCTTCTAAGCATCTTGGTGTAATGTATTTGATGGTATAGGGGTGTTGGTAGACTTGAAATACAGTAATTAGCGATTCAAGTCTCATTATCTTATTTCATTTTTAGTAAATGTCACCTTATCTTCATAATTGTGTCACCCATCGATAGCTGAGATTCTCCCGATTAAAATGAGTCCAAACACGACGTAGATCGGATTAATTGCAGCTATTCTCCGATTGTAAGCAATCTACAGGGTGAGTCGCGTGACCTGGACATCTCAAGTAGCTTTCAAATTACGCTTTTTATGAAAAATTGTTAAATAGGTGGTTTCAAAGGTGAATAGATGTTCCTGTATGTAGAGTGGTGTTCAAATTTTTTAAATCAACTAATTCAACGTTCTTTGAGGTGTAGAAGTTAGCTGACCCACCCTGTATAATATGAGGCTTGTCGATAAATGTTGTCCGATTTATATCGTGTTTGGAGTTATTTTAATCGGAAAAATCTCAGCTATCGATTGGCGGTATAATTATAGAAATAAGATGCTAATTAATGAAAATCAAATTTTCTTCGTTACATTGATATTATTATTTATAGCATCTCGTGCATCACTGTTGCACAGTCTTATACAAGTGCATTTTTCATCAAACATCTCGGCTGTATCAACTCGAAATTTCGACTGAATGTCAAATGGGTGTACATATTTCAGCTGGTGTCAGTTTCTGAGTTATACTGTGGCTCGGAAGTTATGCGGCCAGTCTCATTACCTTTTGATACATCTTGTATTACGTAGCGGTTATTCAACAAAATGATGGAAGTTTCCTAAAAAACCGTGATGAAACTCCACGAAAACTCTGTCAAACTATATGAAAAAGTTTATACGAAGTTATCGAGTAATGTGAGAATAGTTTCAGCGAAATGCAATGCAAATTTTAAAATTGTACCAAAAATATTAAAAATTAAATTAAGAAAGAACTTAAAAACGAATTATAGGAATAGTTGAATATTTCTATTCGTTTTCATTACTTTCCCAATTTTCATATAATTTTACTACAAATATAATTTCACGCAGTGGTGTTCTACTTTATTACTAAATAGAAGTTATTAAACAAAATTAGAGAAGGTTAAGCTACATATAATAAAATGATGTCGAATTATGATATTATTAAATTCTACAAAATTCGATTAAGATAAATATGCTAAATTATTTTTAAAAAATGACAAAATTATCTTGCGAGCATATTGAAATTATGTCAAATTATATTTAAAGAATTGTATCAAATTAATGAAGGAAACGACAAACGTTTCTAATGATAAAATCTGTAGTAAAATTATCGGAAAATAACAGGAATATTGAGAGAAATAATGAAAAGCAGTAGAAACTATATTTGCCAATTTATATTATTAACAGTCGCGAATTAAAAGGCCATAAAGTTAAATGACATGCGCCTCTCTTTACGAATTTTTAATTATATATTATCACCACCGATTTTATGATAATTCATTTGTTATCAATGCGCAACCGCAATTCCACTTAATTTATTAGCCAAATGTATTAACCAAATGTGTATAGATCACTGACATTTCTCTCGTTTTTAGTGCGCAAGTAATTGCAAACAGGTTTCATGTAAATGCCATATTGTAAATTGAGACGTGTTTGGCTCGTTCGAATGCGCACTGTCATTTCATATATCATGCCATGTTGCACGATTAATTGGCCAACCATTATTGACGTTTGAATTCACTAACAGTGTAATTAATAAACATAAACGTCAATAACGTAATACGCCATATTGGTGGCAATGAATAATTCATGATTCACTTAAGAAGATAATGGCGTATATATAGGGTGTCGTGTATTTTGCATAAGCATAGAAATAATAAAAAAAAGGATCTTTAGTTGATCTTGCTTTCTAGTTATAGCTATGTTGTTCAAAATGACCTCTTTAAATCTGAATACAAAATTAAAGAATAACAATCGGAGGAAATGTTCTCTGCAGAATTATTTAAATATCACACTTGCTTAAGTAAAAATGAAGGTCGGGAAAGGTTTATGTTTATATTAACTTTCTCTGATTTCTCTTTGTATGATCCATCGTCGAGTTGGTTCCTCGAAGTTGCAAGACACCCTGTATATCTTGGTAATTGTGTTTTATAATAGGCACAACATTATTTTCAGGACTAAAAGGGTGTTCTAATGTAAACGCGTGATTTAAGTGCAACATTTGGAAATTAATTTAAGGAAAATAAATAAATCTAGCAAAGTGATTTTTTGCATGTTTATTTAGACATTTTCGAAATAATAGCAGAAATTTTTTGAGACGGTTTGTTAAGGATTAGGGAGGTTTTAATAAGAGAATGTGGTCAAACAATTTTTCTCGTTTTATAAATGTTATTCAAATATTCATTCTATAGTAATAACCGACTAATATACCTTCTTTGTGTTCGCATGAATTTCGACTTTTACACCGTTTTCTTATTGGCACCACGTTTATTATCCGCAAAGTATAAAAAATATTACTATACAAAATATAACTATTTCCAAAATGATTTTGTTGAAACGCAATTAATTTGGAGCAGATTTCCAGATTATTAAATTTGAAATTATATTGAGACCCTAAACTATAGTGCGTATCATAAATACACCTAACCTTGATGATTGTAATAACTTGGCCGTTTGGAAACTCACTATGAGATAGTGAGACAGAACAACGATTCACGCTGAAGAATTTATCTTGCTATGTTTGTCAATAACTGTGACATGAATAATATCATTTAAGATTGTTACGTAAAATCTTTCTCTTTAATGTTGTAATACAGGTTTTCGGTAAGAAATGTGTCAAAATAGCAATTATACTTTTCGATACATCCAACTAGAACTCGTTTTTCTTAATTATCATTTCTTATTGCTTCTTATTGCATCTTATTGTTTCGTAATTGCTTCTTACTGCTTTCTTATTGATTTGGTATTTTATGTTATTGTCTTGTCAATGTTTTGTTATTGTTTCTTATTGTTCTCTTATTGTTCTCTTATTGTTCCTTATTGTTCCTTATGGTTTCTCATTCGTTCTCATTCGTTCTCATTCTTTCTCATTCTTTCCCATTCTTTTCCATTCTTTTCCATTCTTTTCCATTCTTTTCCATTCTTTTCCATTCTTTCCCATTCTTTCCCATGCCTTCTCATTCCTTCCCATTTTTTCTTATCTTTTTCTTATCACATTCTTTCTTATCACATTCTTTCTTATCACATTCTTTCTTATCACATTCTTTCTTATCACATTCTTTCTTATCACATTCTTTCTTATCACATTCTTTCTTATCACATTCTTTCTTATCACATTCTTTCTTATCACATTCTTTCTTATCACATTCTTTCTTATCACATTCTTTCTTATCACATTCTTTCTTATCACATTCTTTCTTATCACATTCTTTCTTATCACATTCTTTCTTATCACATTCTTTCTTATCACATTCTTTCTTATCACATTCTTTCTTATCACNATTCTTTTCCATTCTTTTCCATTCTTTTCCATTCTTTCCCATTCTTTCCCATGCCTTCTCATTCCTTCCCATTTTTTCTTATCTTTTTCTTATCACATTCTTTCTTATCACATTCTTTCTTATTCGTTTTTATTCGTTCTTATTCGTTCTTATTTATTCTTATTCGTTCTTATTCGTTCTTATTCATTCTTATTCGTTCTTATTCGCCCTTATTCGTCCTTATGCGTCTTTATTCGTTCTTATTCGTTCTTATTTATTCTTATTCGTTCTTATTTGTTCTTATTCATTCTTATTCGTTCTTATTCGCCCTTATTCGTCCTTATGCGTCTTTATTCGTTCTTATTCGTTCTTATTTATTCTTATTCGTTCTTATTCGTTCTTATTCATTCTTATTCGTTCTTATTCGCCCTTATTCGTCCTTATGCGTCTTTATTCGTTCTTATTCGTTCTTATTTATTCTTATTCGTTCTTATTTGTTCTTATTCATTCTTATTCGTTCTTATTCGCCCTTATTCGTCCTTATGCGTCTTTATTCGTTCTTATTCGTCCTTATTCGTTCTTATTCGTCCTTATTCGTTCTTATTCGTTCTTATTCATGCTTATTCGTCCTTATTCGTTCTTATTCTTTCTTATTCTTCCTTACTCTATCTTACTGTTTCAAATACTTTTTACTGTTTCTTATCGTTCCTTATCATTTCATATTATTTCTTATTATTTATTGTAATCCTTGCCTTTCTGTACAAGATAACTTCCAGTTCACAGAATGTGTGCGTTTCTCTTTTGCATCTGAACACATATCATTGACTAGTTAAACCAAGAATTAATAAAAAAGAACAATAAGGAAGCGTGTTAAAGAAAGTGACAATAATGTAATAAGGAAACTTGTTGTTTATTTCAATGAATGATCTAGTAGAATTAAAATTAGTACAAAGAGGATTTTTTCGTGTCGAGGTAACACATTGGACAGTCACAATCCGAATGTTTCTTTTCCACCGTGATTACATCGTCCTTTAGCAACGTAATCAAAGCACCGCAATTACAGTCTTCGCGCGGCCAATTTTTTCGCAACTGCAGCCTAAAAGCGACTTCACACGAGGATACGCGTGTTGCATACGTAGCCTTTACCTTCAACACGAACGGCATCAATCGTCGCCTTTTTCCCTGTCAGATGGCTCTCTTTTCCTCGTGGCATTTTTCCCGCTGACCTTTCCAGCCGCCACAATTGACACCGACGGATACCAAATAAAACTTATCGCGAGAAAATAAATTCTATTTATACGGAGCGTACGAAATAACTTCATCAGTTTGAGAATATTTCACTGGCTTTTGATAACGTGAAGATATGACAAAGTGAAACATTTTTATCTTTATTTTTATCTTCTATTACTATGAAAATTAAGAAAACCGATTGTTTCTATATAAATTTTGATATTGTAAAAACGTGTCAAAGCGAAACATTTTTATCTTGATGGTATTGTTTTATTTTTATTAAAATTAAGAATTCTTTTTATATAGGGTGAACAAAAATAATCGGAGCACTTTGAATGTTTTACTTGTTTTTTGGAATGTGAAAATATGTATGTTCAAGTAGAGCATTTTTACCTGCAATATGTATGTACAAGTAGAACATTTTTATCTTCATCCTATTGTTCTATCTTTACCAAAATTAAGAAAATCAATTCTTTTTATACAGTATAACCCATTTTAATTAAGATCGTAAAAAATCGGTGATTTAAAATGATTTAAAAAAAAAAATGATACATGTCCTTCAATATCTCGAGTTGGGAGTTAAATGGCAATACTAGTTTTTTTAATGCGTAGGTGTTTCCAAGGTTATTCCAACGTCATCTTGCCTTTTTTAAAATCATAAACCTGTCTTTTTTATTTCGAAATTATATTCCATGAAAATAAATGCATAATTTCTGTATGAAACATTTTTTTGAGAACTGAAGACTTTAAGAATTTATCAAACATCCAAGTCTGTCTTGAACTATTAAAATATTAAAATATAAGTAGGTTTGTATAATTATGATAAAAAATGTAAATTCAGTCGAATTTTTTTAGTAGTTATACTAGAATACCCACTTAAGATTATCCTTACTTAAAATACTGAAGAAAATATCCTAAATGAAGCTAGTTTTTAGCTTTATTTTCGTCTTCACATCATCTAAAGATTAAACTTTAGTTTACGGATCCAGAGCTCTTTTATGTATATTTCCGTAGATTTTGTCGAGGAAACTCCGAAAATTCAATTTCGAAGATCAGCCCAATAAAATATGGAGCATGCGAATTATAATACCAAAATGGCTACTCATTCCTGCTTGTGCTGCCATGTAGCGGCTCTTTTGAGAAATTTCTATGATATTTGTGCTGCCATATAGCGGCGCTACTTAAAGAACTACGTCCACATAAAAGGACTAGAAATTCGTCAATTTTGAACGCGTATAACTTTTGAACCAATAATTTGCGTACCTTCGAACTTGAATGTAAAATGTAAAAATGCATAAAAATGTAAAAATGTATAATTTTTTTCAAACTGGACTAAACGATTTGAATATTTTTTAAAGGTTAGAGATACTAGACTACTTGACTGTGACTAAACTATCCCTTTTTTCTAATTTTGCTTGGAATGACAAAAAGAAATATAAATTTCACGTTTGTGATTGTCAATAACGCGTCTAACTTTTTTATCTGTGTTTTTTGTGTTTCCTCGACAAAATCTACGGGAATATGCAATAAAAGAGCCAAAATTCTCTGGACCCTTAAAGTAAAGATTAGCCCACCTAAATATCCTTTCTAATAACTAAGAAAACAGAAGGTAAACTTTTTATTTTACCAAAGCAATGTTACCCTTCGTATAATTATGATACGCACTGTACAAAAATGCAAATGAAATCGAAATTTTTTAGCGATTACACTAGAATGCCCTCTTAAGTCCAACCCTACTCAAAATACTGGAAAAAAGTATCCTAAATGAAGCCAGTTTGTAGCTTCGTTTTCGTATCGTCTAAATATCTCTAACAATAACTAAGAGAAAAAAAGGTAACCTTTTGCTTTTACCAATCGAATATTACCCTCGATCGACGATGTAGAAATCGGAAATTTTCCAAATTAACATCGCACAAAGAGCATTGTTTAGCAAAAAAAAGAAAAAAAGAAAAAGAAAGAATGAGAAACATCACGACGGCCGATTCTTGATAGTTATCCTGACAGGCTGCTTCCGAGACAGGCGAAACATTTCATTCGATTGCGTTCGCCGGCAATTTGTCGGGCCGGTCACGCGTGAAAAACGCGTTCCCCCCCGCGGGAACGAAGAAGTTCCTCGGCGCTGCGAGATCGATTCTTACATGGGAACCATTTCTGTCCGCAGTTGTCCGTGATGGACAAGAAATTGGACCACCTGGGCTACGTGCTGAACGCGGTGGCACAAAAGCAACAAATACCCCTGAGGAGTATAGAGGACGACGTGTAACAGAAAGCCCCCGGCGTGCTCGTGCCATCTGTTTCGCGATCACCGGCAATCCCGTGGACTTTACCCCGTGTTACCATAACCAGCGTCGCTCCGAACATGCTCAGCGAGAGCTTCTGAACCGCTCTCTTCCCCTCTTCTCTCTCTCTCTCTCTCTCTCTATCTTTCTTTCTCGCTCTATCTATCTACATCTATCTTTTTCCCACACAGGAGCCCGAAAGCGCTTCTGTCGAAAAATATAAAAATACAATCCGAGGTCGGAGACTAAGATCCTATAAAAGGGAACTGGACAATCCGGACGGCTCTATCTCGGTCGTGAACGGACGCGCGGAAAGAAAGAAGCCTGCGAATGGAGACGAATGCCGGGAAACGCGGAGGATCGCCGGAAGCTGGACACAGCGCGACGGATTCTGGGTGTCGAGCGCGAAGAGAACATGCGGAATAGAAGCGTGCTGGAAATATGTGGCTGTCGGGGAGACGTGGTTGAATGGGCGTGGATCGGGCAAAGCTGCGTTCGATGGTGATCGATTGTTTGTACGATGCCGAGGTCTGCTTTCGAGACGAGATTGCCGATCAAAGAGATTGGGACTGGAGATCGTCCGCTGATAGAATTCGGGACCGCAGTGCGAGGATCGAGTCGAGATATCGTTGTAAATGAGAGCGGGTCGGCTGTGATTTTATATAGATCGATTCGCGAGGAATCGGTGGACAGCGGTGTTTGCGGAATCGATTTTACGGTGAGCTGGTGGAGAGGAGGCGATGAAAGTATCGAAAAGAGACACGGCGGTGTTGAACCGGCGGCATACTATTTTTACGTCTGGACAGGAGAATGTGGAAGATATTAATGGTCGCGCGTGCAATATTGATAGAAAATCGTTCTATTTTTACTGGTGCGGAGGACGAAAATAAGATGCTGGTCGCCGCGAGTAATTATAAGGATGGTGAAGAAAGGGATTTGAGCCTGATTTTTGACGAAGAGGAGAGCAAAGGGAACGGATAATGAGAATTGGAATTAATGTGGTTTTATTCGGCGCGGGAAGAATGGAGACGGAGCTGAAAGAGAGGAATGCGTTGCGATAAAATGCGCTTTCATTCGAATTTTTAACGAAGACGAAGACAAAGTAAATGATAGAGATAACATCGTTCCCGATGAATATGGTTTTATTCGTTTTCGCGGCAAGAAAGGAAATGTTAATAAGTGAGACGATATTTGGTTGAATTACTGATACGTATCGGAATTAATACGATACCATTTTAAATTCAAACAAAGAAGAAAATTAAGTATAGAAAGATGGTAATAATTGGAATATGGTTTTATTTGATTATGAGAAAGGAAAGAGAGAATTAAACGAGATGATGTTTGATTGAACTGGTGATACTAGAATTAATACGATTTGATTATAATTCGTGACAAACGAGTTGAGAAAAATAAACAACGAAGAAATCGTCATTTGTGAATTAGAGTGTGAATTAATTTTTTTCAGTGATAAGAAAAGGCGATGCTAATTATGCTAGTGATACTTATTGGAATTAATACAATTTTATGTTCATTTCTGACAATGACACAGAGGAAAATGAATAAGAAAGACAAAAAGAAAAATTAATAACAAAGACGATGTTAATTAAGCTAGTGATAATTATTGGAATTAATACAATTTTATGTTCATTTCTGACAATGACACAGAGGAAAATGAATAAGAAAGACAAAAAGAAAAATTAATAACAAAGACGATGTTAATTAAGCTAGTGATAATTATTGGAATTAATACAATTTTATGTTCATTTCTGACAATGACACAGAGGAAAATGAATAAGAAAGACAAAAAGAAAAATTAATAACAAAGACGATGTTAATTAAGCTAGTGATAATTATTGGAATTAATACAATTTTATGTTCATTTCTGACAATGACACAGAGGAAAATGAATAAGAAAGACAAAAAGAAAAATTAATAACAAAGACGATGTTAATTAAGCTAGTGATAATTATTGGAATTAATACAATTTTATGTTCATTTCTGACAATGACACAGAGGAAAATGAATAAGAAAGACAAAACGAAAAATTAATAACAAAGACGATGTTAATTAAACTAGTGATAATTATTGGAATTAATACAATTTTATGTTCATTTCTGACAATGACACAGAGGAAAATGAATAAGAAAGACAAAACGAAAAATTAATAACAAAGACGATGTTAATTAAACTAGTGATAATTATTGGAATTAATACAATTTTATGTTCATTTCTGACAATGACACAGAGGAAAATGAATAAGAAAGACAAAACGAAAAATTAATAACAAACACGATGTTAATTAAACTCGTGATAATTATTGGAATTAATACAATTTGATTTTCATTTGTAACAATTAGACTATAGATACTCTACAGAATTAACATGATTTGATTTTCATTTCCAATAAAGCGAATAACAACGTTAAATAAAAACCAGTGTTATTCGATGGAACAAATACGCTGTCCAATTTTCGTGAAAAAAAGAAAATAAAAGTGAGCACCGAAAAGCTAATATCGTTTATTGTTTTCCGTGATGCGGAAGCAAACATAACTGGCAGAATCGATCGAGATTCTCGGGCTTAATAATATCTGAATTCGCGCTTCGAAAGAAAAATCGCAAGGCACAGTTCCTCGGAGAATCCCCGCACCGTGGACCAAAACAAAACAAAATGGCTGTCTGGAAGAACGCGAGCTATCCACATTCCCAGAACTTTGCTTTTACAGTTTCATCAAAACCTCGGAGTTATATACCGGAAGAATGCTAAGAGCGCGGAAGGGCTCGAAACTCCGAATCAAATAAGAACGCTGCGATCGGGGATTAATTGAATGGATTCTAGAGGAAAGAATTCGAACCACTGGCGATCAGACACGAATTAGTATCGATGGAAAAAAGAACTTCTTGAACCGCGTAATAACTCATAGTGGTGATAAGGGAAGCTATTTCATGAAAATATAAAAAAAAAATATAGAAGCAGAGCATCATTGATGTAAAAAAAAGAGAAACGAAAATCTTCGTCGTGATTGAAGAATTGTATTCGTGGTGCAATATTGATGAAAAGTAAAATTAAAGTAGCGGGTAAAGGATGCATTGGTTAACGAGGAATTTGTATGTATCTGTTTCAATGAGAAATATTAACACAACTTGTTTTACTTTCATTATAAATTGACATAAAAAAAGATGATTAAAAGAAAATTAATAGCAAAGGAAACAATAAAAATGGAACATTGGTTAAACAGAGTGCTCGTGAAAGTTGAAAAATAAAGTTGCAAAGATAGATGAAGAAAGCAATGATGAAAAATGACATCAAAGTGTTGGCCAAAGAAAGCATCGATGAATGAAGTCAAATGAAGTCAAAATAGTGAATAAACAAAACTTTGGTGAACAAAGAATTCATATGGACCAGTTTCAAATAAAAAGATGGACACATTTCAGCCATAATAAATCAAAGCAATAAATGAAAAATCGAATCGGAGCAGTGATTGAAAGAAGCATCGATAAAAAAATGAAAAATAAAATTGTAAGGATGGATGAAGAAAGCATTGACGAAAAATAAAATCAAGGTCGTAACCCAAGAAAACGTTGATGACAAATAAAGTCAGAATAGTGAATAATGGAAACTTTAGTAAACAAAGAACTTATATGATCCAGTTTCAAATAAAAGATCAACACAATTCTTTATTACACTCAGAATAAATCGAAGCAATGAATAAAAAATCGAATCGAAACGGTGATTGAAAGTATCTTCGATAAAAAATAAAAAATAAAATTGTAAAGATGGATGAAAAAGTGTTTGATGAAAAATAACATCGATATGATGAATAAAGAAAGCACTGGCAAAGAAAAGAATTCAGTGGACAAGTTGCATAAGTTATTTTATTTAAATGTTAAAAAAGTCAACTCAATCTCTTCTTTGTCCCACAATAAATCGAAGTAATAACTAAAAGCAACATTCGTAAAAAGAAATAACAAATAGAGTCGAAACAGTGACGAAAAATAGCGTTGACGAAAAGTAAAATGTAAAACTGTTAAATCAGATCAAGAAAGATCTATTGATATACAATAATATAGAACACAAGTGGTAGATAAAGATTAATGAAAAACAAAATCAATCTCGTGGAGAAAGAATGCATTAACAAGTAAGGAATTTGAATGGACCAATTTCAATTAACAACAATCAGCCCGACCCTTTTTTATCATTGCAATAAATTGAAGCAATAAATGAAACGATCTGTAATAAACAAAATAAACAACAGAATCGAGACAGTGATTGCAAGCAGCATCAATGAAAAATGAAAAATATAATTGTAAAGATAAGCGAAGGAAGCATTGACACACGATAAAATCAAAGTGATGGATAAAAAATTGGAACGAAGCAGTTCCAAAGTAGTTTCGTTCAAAGTAGCGGACGAAAGAAGCGTTAACAAAAAATAAGAAAGAGAATCACAGCATTGTCGTAAAATAGAATGGAAGTGGTGAATAAATTAAGTATAGTGTTTGAACCATTACAGATAGAAATGGACCAGTTTCGATTTAAGAAAATCATCGCGACCCTTTTCTAATTCCATCAATAATAAAACAAGTATTGTTAAAAAAAAAGAAGAAAATATAAACAGCGACTAAAAGAAGCATTTATCGAATATAAAAACTAAAATTAACGTGGTGGATGAAGAAAGCATTGATGAAAAATTGTACGATCGAAGCGGTGAACAAAGAATTTTCATGGACCAGTTTCAATTTAAGAAAATGAACGCGACCCTTTTCTAGCCCCTTATGAAATCGAAGCAGCAAATAAAAGATGGGAAAGAAACAAAAAAGAATAAAATTAACATTGATAATATTGAATTGAAATTGTGGATAAAGAAAGCATTGGTTAACAAAGAACTTTAATAGACCAGTTTTCATTAAAAAATTCAACGCTACCCTTTCCGGCCCTGCAAGAAATCGAAGCGGTGAATAAAACAGGCATTGACAGCAAGGGGAAAATAAAACGTGCTGGAGAAAGACTGATGAAAAATACAGTCGGAGTAGTTGATTAAGAAAGCATTGCTGAAAAATTGTACAATCAAAGTGGTGAACAAGCAATTTCAATGGACCAGTTTTAATTTTTTAAAAATCAACGTTACCGTTCTTACTCCTCCAAAAGATCGAAGCAATCGACAATAGAAGCACTGACAAAAAGCGACAAAATAGACTCGAAACAATGATTACAAGGAGCGCGGACAGAGAATAGAAGCTGAAATTTACATGGCGGATAGAGACAGTGTCGACAAAGAATTGTACGAAATGGCGAACAAAGAACACGAACGGACCAGTTACAATTTCAGAAAACCAACTCGACTCTTTTCAGTCCCGCAAGAGATCGAAGCAGTGACCTAAAGTAGTGCCGTCACAGAATAAAAAGAAACATCGACGTGTATAGGTATTGATACCTAAAAAAATCGACAGGTAGCTGAAACTTCGATAATATCTGAACCATTAACGAGAAACGAGAACGCTGAAGCTCTGACCCTTCGACCACAACGGCCACCTCGAAGACCATGGAATCGAGAAGATCAGCCAGAATCGGTGGATACTTCCGTGGAGACGGTGATCCTCGGAAACGATTCACAGAAACGATCACGCTAAACGCACAGGAACGATTCTTGTATTGTTATGTTCGAGTGGAGGCGGCATTCGAGGAGAGCAGTGGATTCTCTGCGCGATGGAATAAATGAGAAGCAAAAACGATTGTCCTCGGAGATTCGAAGGATTCGGAACCGAAGACGACTCGAGAGTCACGGTAGCCAGAAAAATAAGCTAGATTTTGAGTGGAAAGAGTGGGGGTGGGTCGCGTGACGCGGCAGCCGTCGTTGAACCGCGCTGTGCAGCGGAGTGGGGATAGGTCATGCGACGCGGCGGCCGTCATTGAACCGCGCTGTCCAGCGGAGTGGGGGTAGATCGCGTGACGCGGCGATCGTAGTTGATCCGCGCTGTGCAGCGGAATGGGGGTAGGTCGTGTGACGCGGCGGCCGTCATTGAACTGCGCTGTGCAGCATAGTGGGGATAAGTCATACGACGCGGCGGCCGTCGTTGGTCCGCGCTGTGCAGCAGAGTGGGGGTAGGTCACATGTCGCCACATTGCGTTACTTACATGAGCGTTCGGAATAAAGATCATAACGTTTCAAAGAGAATACAAAGATGCATTGATCCGCATAAGAAGATTCAATGATTTCATAAACAAAATTCTAGTCGCCTCTGTTTTTTATGGAAACATTAATGCAAATTTTCTATAACGTAATTTATTGTTAGCTGAATACCGAGTAACTTTGTATAAATTGAAAAGTTCTCTTTTATTCCTTTCATTTCCACATCATGTAAAAATGAAAACGTTGATAAAAAAAGACCCGTCGCATTATCTACGCCCCTGCTTCGATTCGAAATCTAGCGTGGTTTTCTGGCTACCATGCTCGAGAGAGTCGTGTTGGCGTGTTATGGCAGCGGAAGGCTGTGGCAGCGACGGAGGATCGTACGCAAACGTATTGGGAACATCTATATCGGGCCAACTAGGAATAATAGAGGAACAATAAGCGACTAAAGAGAAACTTCCTAGAATCAGATATAACTATCTCTAACTAGGCTTATCTATAATACGTATACAGAGAGGATTAATTGCATAAAAGATTATTATTATTATATATATACATACGTATACATACTCTATTGTACCGTATTATTGAATTCTATTCGTTTCTAGTCTCTGCTGGTAATGACGTTCAATTAATAAGCCTTAAATTAATCACAGACTTTAAGATTTAGCGAGGTACGCTGTACAAAAAAAAAGAAAAACCGGTGTCGAGTTACTTCATTGACTCTTGTATAGATACCTACTCGTACTTGGTCGATTTTTTCAATTTATTAGCACAAACGCGGAATTTGCCGATTAACTATGCTTAAATAAGATCGTCCTCGTACCGTGTCCTCGAAACGAACGCTTTTCTGCCCTTGCGCGAGCGACTCGATTGTTATTAATAACACAATTGGTCGTTGTATTTCGTTCGCAATTTTTGGCATTGTTTAACAGCGACTCTGAATCGGCAATATTGATTAATGTTACAATGCAGAGCGAGGTGCTTAAGATTGGATTGTTTTCGAAATTCTTGATTGCTTCAAAAACATTTTTCGGATGAAAGTTGAATGATAGTTGAACAAAGGCGTCGTTCCGTGTAATTATCGAGCGAACATTTATGTGTCAAGATTATTTATTTAATGAGGCTATAGGTATTCTATTCTATTGATTGACAGAGATTGCAATGATGTGTAGAAATGTATTAATAGGTTTTTATGAGAAAATTGTTAAGAGAGTAATTAGTAGACAATTATTTATCATGGTTATGGGAGAAAATTAATAGGCGAGTAATTAGTAGACAATTAGTTGTTATGGTTATGTGAGAAAATTGTTAGGAGAATAATTAGGAGGCAATTAGCTGACATGATTATGTGGAAAACTTATTAGATGAGTAATTACTAATTACTAATTACCAATTTTTAATTAATTAGTTTAAGAGACACTTAAACTATACTCAGTGACATAACTGGCACGACTAGACAACTTTGAATATTTCAGTAATTATTAGGCGGTTTTCATAGATCTAAAAATGAACTTTAAATTTTAAGTCTAGCATTTATATTTATTAAAGTAATTAATTTTGGAAAATCGTCGGATCTCTAATTTTGAAAATTTTTTGTGTTTGTCTTGATACTATTTTAAACATCTAAATATGTTCAAAAATTGGAGCTACTTGTTACATTTCTTTGAGATATGGCATGTTACAAAAATACGTCACTGACAAATTCGTAATTCTTCAGGAAAAGATGCTAAGCTGGTCATGCATAAGTTTTTGTGATATTTCAATTCAAATATATAATAATCGACGATTAAATTAAAACAATTTCTGAACTCGTGGTTTTCAACTACTTTAATGTCTTTCTGCAGAGAATGAAAAACTGCAGCATGCAATGCATTAAAAAGTATAAAATCTAATTAGAAGTTAAACAAATTCGACGTTCGAATATTCTCTACGCCTCCAGTTACCAACTAATTACATCGATAGAAATGGGCCTTAAAACTGTTCGACTTTCGTCTGAATAAATTTTCAGTACAATCAATAATTTTGCAAACAAATTTTATTTTTCTCACTCGTTATATTACACATCAAAGTCAAAAAATAGCGAATTGCTTTCAAAATCGTCAATTGCAATTGATGCAAAATGCAAAAGTCATCCTCCCGTTATTGCATTAGTTAACAACATATCGATTTAAATGTATTATCACAAATTAAGTAAAATTAGTTTGGTTAATAGTTGAGGTTAATTAACCACTTAATTAGGCTCAAATGCAATCAACTTTATATTAAAACCGCATAATGAACCTAGCATAATTGAACAGTTCATACTCCATCTTACAATGCTAAACAGTTGTTTACAAACAGAAATAGTTAATTTTCAACCAACTCATCATTTACACAGAGTAAATAAAATAATTATTGTGTTAGAAATTATCCACGACAAAAACGACTGGTACATGCAAGTGCAAGCTTGTTCTATTATTTAACAATTCCAAATTGCAATTATAGTTATAAATAACCATATAAACAAGCTGACAGCTACGATACGTGCAGTCTTATACTTCAATTTTTATTTTAGAAACGCATTTTTATTTAATGTCTATTCTTTGTAATTGATTTAGCAAATTCTAATTCGACATAAATTTTTATTTCACATAAATTTTTATTTTATTCAGGACATTTCGATTTTGCATAAATATCTGCAGTATAGTAATTTATTCTCAGAGATAATTAACGTAATATACATTGACGTAACTGGCACAAGTGGACAATTTTGAATATTTTAGTAATTTTATTTTTGAAACGCCTGGAAATGAAATTTTGGAAGTCTGAAGCGTTTCTGTAATATTTCTCGAGAAACCTAAGCGGTTGTTACAAAAAGTCGAAGGTTGCTCGCGCAAGGGTCGGGCTCGCATAATCCCTTCTCACTTCGGACGCTTCATATTGGCTGCAAAAGGACCTCTCCAATCGAATCCAAAGAAGCTGGACACGCATCCGCCGACTTTTTCCACGCGAGCGATCAGGTTTTGTCCTTCAGCGTAGACCATTTTGAATTTCGTTCGTGGAACAGCGGGAAAAGCAATGTTATATTAAACGCAGAAGTTCGTTTAGTGCCTTTTCATTGAAGCAATTACAGAACTGTTTTAACTGTCACATGTTAAACATATGTGTGTATGTTACATAGTATAATATGCAATCAGCCAAAAAAAGCTACGTGGATTCTTTGAAACGAAGTAACATTTTTCAAATAAACAACTCCAAGTCTTTTTGATATTTACTTGACGATACGTGAAACAATGTTTCAGAAAATTCTGGTTGACTTCTGACTCGAAGAAAGTAGCAAAGTTTTCTACTAATTTTTTAACCTGAAATGAAAACGTAACGAATACATTTTGTGGTTACGTACGGGGTGTCATGAAATTACGTAATGTGGTTTTGCACCCTCGGTTTGGTGGTAGATATTCGATTTTGAAAGGTAAATTAAATAAATTTTTCAATAAATGTAGGTAAATTGTATACTAAAAAAATTTGATTTTGTTACTGTTTTCGTTACTATTTTGTTAGTTTGATTTTGTCTATTAATTTTACAGAAATTTTGCACGATCAAAGTCAAGGTTAAAAAATGGAAATTTCTTTTATTGACATAAACTTGTTTATTTATAGAAATTCATGTAAATGTGAATTTTGCAATAAAAAAATATTTTTTCAACCTTTGAGTTTGAACCCTTCAAGGTGAAGGTCAATTTTGTCGAGGATGTGAAATCATCTCTAATGATTTTTTTATAGAAATTTAGATTAGAATTAATATTAAATAGGCGCGTAATTGATCATAGTAGATTTTTAATATAAGATTTAATTACAATGAGCTTTGATTAGAAATTTGAAATATAATAGATTTTTATAAAAATATAAATTGTAGTAAGTTTTTATCGAAATTTCACTAGAAATTTTAAGTTGTAATAAATTTTTAATAGAAGTTTCAAGTAATTAATTTTATATGGGTGTGAAGCCAATTATAAACATAATTTTGTGACACCCCGTACATTCTGGAAATTTCATCGAAATTGTTGCAGAAACAAGCGACGAGCTTTAGGTTGATTATAATTGTTTAGTTATAGTCGTGAGAAATTTCAGCAAAATGTATTTTTTAAATTTTCTCTGCAAGATGAAAAATATTGCAAAATACATATTTTATTATTTTATTCGAAACTTTGGTCAACCACAATTTTGTCAAAAATTATACGCGTCTACTAAATTAATACTTTTAATTTTGTTGCAATTTTTAAAAATGTTATTATATTTGAAAGGATGAACGGAGACCTTTTTGTTTAATTGTAGGTGTTAACCGGTTTGGAGGTAAATGTTTCTACATATTCACGCTGAAAGATGAATTTTGAAAGCGTACAGGGTGTTCATGAAGTATGCAGTTGAATTTCCGCACCATTGATTGGAAATGTCTAGAATGTTAAATTGAAAATGCTATTTAATATGTTTACATTAAATACTTTAAATTTGTTAATTGGTCATGTGTCCTCATGATTGCAAAATTACATCCCATTTATATGAATAAATGGGATATAAATAAATATGAAAAATTATTTTTACATTGTTAATAGCTATCAGCAATTCTTCTGCAGTTTCCATTCAGAATGTATTGTAAAATTCGTTTCTCCGCCGATAATTTAACAATTAATTGAACGAATGAGAAGTGTTGGTTAAGCAGAATAACAAATTATAATTAATGATTTTTCTAAATGCATTTCGTTTCTCACTGTTTCAAAAACATTCTACAAAATTTCACGAACACCCTACATGTACGAATACGATGAACATGTACAAGGTGTACAAAAAAGTAACTGACCTACTTTAAAAGTTGAATAACTTTTATATCGTTCGTCCGATCAAAATGAAAATATTTTGTTCACTATCCACTATTTTGTTCCAATCAAAATGTGGATTAACGACATGTTTACAGCAATCTAGAATGAAAATTTGAAAACACCAATTTTTCAGACCTGATCCAAAGCAAATACTGACACTGTTTTACTTATATAATTATAAATATTATTTTATGCAATTATATTCTTTTACAGTTATATTTAGAATTGCAATAAAAATGTAAGAGTACATTTAATCACAAAAACTGAAAACATATTTAATCACAGAAACTGAAAACATATTTAATCACAGAAACTCAAAAAAGACATTTAATTATAAAAGCTTATATAAAAGCTATAATTAGTAAAACGCAAACAAATCGTTTTACGATCAATATTCTAAGACAGTTAATTACATTAATTTTATTTAATTCAATTACATTTCATTTTCCGAGACACATATAATAAATAATATTGAAATTTACAAAAATCGGACAAACGGTCAAAACGGACTCGATCTCGACGCAGCTGCTTTTTTGCAACCTAACGAACAATTAGGACCATGAACTCCATGAAAAATCAGATTGAAGAGGGAAATAGGGAGTAATGGCGGTGTATATATTACCCACAGTACCAAAACAGAAAGAAAATGGAGATCAGATTTATTCTGCATAGGAATATATTTATATTTTCTACGTAAGCTATCGGCTACGGCACATAAACTACCCTAATCTAATCGACACCGTAAGAGTTTCGTCGTGCTAATTCTACGCGAGTCTGCGCGAACGTGTGAATGTGTAGCAGAACAATGAATACCAGTTTGATTTTCTACATTGCTTTCTTTGTCGACCATTCAAGCGCAGAAAAGGCAATATCTTTGTTCGGTGATCATTTCGAAGCTTGACCTCCTCTGTCAGTAACCTCGAAATAACTTGTCAAGGTCATCGTTTTGAACCACTTTTCATCACACATATTACTGCTGCCGGACTTTTCAATGTGTACAGGCAAATATATTCAGCACTGTATTAAGTCCGATTTTGAAAAAAAAACATAACTTTCTATCATTAATTTGAGATAAAATTTATTGATCACAATGCTTTAAAATTATATATAACATTCTTGAAAGCATCATAGTATTTCTTGATTAAAACACTTTATAACACAGATACTATAAAATTGGACCACTGTTATAAGGCATCTGCTATGGAATATAAATCGATACAGAGTATCCCGAAAGATTCCTGAAATAAATTGAAGAACCTTTACCCTTTGCGAAAATGTTCTCCCACGCTTCGTTTAAGAGTTGTTTGCGAAAAACACGGACCAATCACAGGGCGAGTACTGCTGGCTCTCGCCAGCGCAGCGTTAACGCAGCGCTACTGTAGAACATCGGTAGTACTCGTACTCTGATTGGTCCGCGTTTTTTCTTAATAGCTCGTCAACGCAGTCACGGAGAACATTTTCGCTAAAAAAAAAAAATTGCTTAAAATCGCCTCAACTATCGTTCCTTTCAAGAATTTACATTTATGGATCATCCACATGTGCCAGCGACAAAATGTAACTCGAAAGGATCAAATATCGATACTCGAGCAATACCAAATCTGTGCTGGAAATATTTAAACGGAAGTTACTTCGAATAACGACGTTGACAACGTATTTCAGGGTCACCGAGATTAACGAGGAAGACAAACTTTTGAACGATTGCCCTAATAGTAAGTGCACGTTTATCGCGTACACGTGCATCACATTGTTGCAAACCATACTGAAACTATTCGAATCGTATTTTATTACGTTTGCGAGAGTGTGCGTTCTACACCCAGAAACAGAGAACAATATTTCTGTCCCACAGAGTTCATATTTTTTTTACGAAGAACCCGGTGAACGAAGTTCGAGGCTACGATATTTGAAAACAGTATTTCCTCTGTTATGTTTTAATTCAATTTTAGCTATGGTGTGTGTGTGATCAAATGGAATGCAACAACAGGATTATTATGGAACAATGCAGATGTGCATTCCCACCTTCGATATAACAACTGAAATCGTCTCGTTGTAAAAGAAAGCAAGAACATTCTTCGACGATTATTTAAATAAAAAGATCCGCGTTTTATGGTAAAGAGACATTTCGAAATTTAATTAATACTGTAATAGTAATTTAATTGTTTTAAATGCAACTAGATATTGCAACAAATATTTTGCAATAAATATTTGAGCGATTAGATAGTAAAAATCGTTTCTGAGAACTTCGAAAAGTTTCAAGAAATCATATGATTGTTTTAATTAAATACATGACCTTGCCATCACGTGACGATCATTTAAGTATTGAAAGTTGACGAAAATTTTTTTTAAATTTTAACAAAAGCTCGATTTGTTATCTGCAAGCGGAGGCACAGTGAATAAAAGCCTACATTAAACTTCGAAAAAAACAGTCGAATAAACAATTTCTAAAGATTCCATTAAAACCGTGGCCGACGGAAGACAGCGATCACAAAGAGGAAATACTGTTTACACTGCTCGGAAGAACAAAAGCAACGTTTTACGCTCGAATGGTTGAGCATTTGAAGTTAGCGATGTACCGGGTGTACAGAACTTTCTCGTTTAGTCGGCGAGGGGCACGTGAGCCCTCGAAGTGCACGAACATCTTTGTTTCGTAAAGCAAACTAATACATTGAATACGTTGCATACGCTCTGATCTCGATCTGCTCGATTGAGAGCATGATCGATGTACGCGCGAGGAGGACCAGTCTCTTTTAGAATAACAATCGATCGAACTATTGCACTGAAATTATCTATATTGTGATTAGATTCTATCGTAATGCAACTCTGTAAATATATATACATACATATACATATAGTTCTATACATATAATGAAACGTTTAACATATAACGTAACGTATTACGTATGGCATATGACGTATGATTAATTAGCAAACAGTAGAGACTGTTTTCTTAAGCGAAGCGACTTTTAAGAGTATTTTTTTAAACTGGATACTTTTACATTCCGGAGTTCCCAGAACCCTTTGCGCTCTCTCGATCGAGTAAACAATATGTTTTGTTTCGTTGTTGTTTGTTCATGTAAAGAAATTAATGTGCGTTTCGTTTAGTTGAAATAAATTGTTTTTGTTCTACCAACACGAATTTACGGGCTTATTTTCCGTTTTCGATTATCGTCGCTGTTTTTGTTCTCGATCATTTTTCGTGATTACTTCAATCACATTTTTGGGGGATTATAGATAATATTTTCACTCGAAATGGTTGTTCTTTTGATCATTTAAAATTTAAATAACGTTTCTTGGGACTACTATTATTATCTCTGTTTTTTAAATAATTTTTCTGTGTTATCATAATGTAAATTGTAAATTAACTAGAATTAACTTACAGAAAGTTAAAT